GAGTTTTATTAGGTTGGTTTGGTTAGCATTGCATAGTTTCCTAGAAACCTTTAAAAAACAGAGCATAGTTTTATTCTAATGTGTGGTTTGCTGTTGTGGAGAAGTTGTTGCCAACAAGGGAACAATTTTAAACAGCAAAAGTCTCCATTCTTTTTCTTTTGTTCTCTTTCCCTCCTTCCTTCCCTCTCTCTGTCCCTCATCCCAAACACATCTTAGCTAATCCATCCTTGTTTATATGTTTGTCTAATGGGGAAACATATGGCTAATGTTCTGTTTCATTTTTCTTTTGTCAATGCTTTCGCGAATGCCGATTCCAACCACGTAACTGTCTAATCATGTGGCGGTGTTTGTTTTTATGAATTCTGTTTCCACAGGCTTAGTGGAGTTCCTCTTCCATCATTTTGTCGGCTAAGTCGATGATTGTTCCTTCCTTCCGAAGCTTCAAATGGTTGTTGCTTTGGAAGTTTGCTACTCAATAAGGCTTCCAATGGGTTGGGTTTTGGTAGAACCAGCCTCGAATCGATTATTATTATTATGGATAAATTCATTGACCCGGAACTGAAAACTAGAAATATTTATTTAAAGAATAAATTAAATTTTGAATTTCGATAACATAACCCTAATAAAATTTACAGAAAATGATTATTATTGATATATTAATAAATTAAATATTTTAACTAATATTATCTATCATAAATGGCATTTATAACATAAAATATGCTAAAAGATATTGGAGAATTAAGAAAATCTTGTACATACTTTAGAAAACAACTGGTTCCAGGTATGAATTGATTCAGGACAGGGAATACCATGCACCGACCCAATTATTATTCTAGACAAAATCATGGAACCAGAACCGTTATAATTCTAGAATTATAAATGGTTCTGATCTGTTTGTGTTCACCGGGCAAATGCGACCCACTGGTGGCCCTAATTCTTGAATAAGGTTCATGGGAAGACAGGAGCTGCAATAAGTTTGGTATTTCTTTTCCTTCTTACGAGGATTTTCTTTTCTTGGTTGTGACCTTTTCAACGCATTGCCAATGTTGAAACCTTTGCTGTTGTAGTGTATGATTGTATAGTGGGATGTTGATTTTGGACCAAAACAAATCGATAAGTACTTCCACAAAATGACAACCATGCCAATGTGTGTTCGTTATTAGTAGTTGGCATTGTTAACTACTGTATAAAGAATGACCGTAGGCTTGTAAGCCAACATTTTTTTTATATGCCAAAAGTTTATTATATGCTAACTTTTCCTTATTGTTGTTTTTATTGTCAATTTTCTTTTGTGTTGTTTTCTTAAACTAATCCAAGATATCTTCAGGCATTAACACTTGTAGGAGGTTATGTCGACGCAAATGATTCAAGTATTTGAGTTGGTTTGTAATAGTTGGCCTTGGCGTTGCATATGCAAGAACATTGGATTAGAAGGTGAAGTATCTAGTTGTCACCTGTAGAGTGACATTTTGTTTCATAAAAGCATTTTCAAAGCATTGTTTCTAAAGTCTTAGTGAAGAAGTTTACCAAACTATTAGGCCAAATCTTTATCACAAATGGATTGGAATATGGTTCGAGGGGATTTTGCTATACATCTGTTAAACACCTTTCGCCGGGAATATTTTTTGTTGTTGAAGTTTTTGCGACTCAAAACTAATTGTATGGTTAACCATGCTCAATTTAGTACGCTTTTGCCCGTTATGGTATTGTATCAGAACATATGTAGTATAGTGTTTATTGTTTTTTAGAATTTTGATGAATTAAATATGCAGTTCCATTTGAAGCTTACTTTATTTTATTAACAGACAAAAAGGAAATCATCTCCAATTTTGGAAGATGCAAAATCTTCAATTGATGTGATTTTCTTCACCACGATCTCATTGGGCTTTATTTCTGTTGTGTCTTGCAGGGAAGATATTACTCGAGCTATTATCTTTGCCTTAATGGACAGAAGTGATT